AAGGTGAGGGATGTCATCATGGAGACTGATGAAACAATGGTCTCTTTTGATGTCACATCACTCTTTACGTGCATTCCTGTTGATGATGCAGTAGAGGTGGTCAGTTTAAGATTAAAATCAGACACCACTCTGAGCAGCAGGACCACGCTTTCCACAGAACAACTGTGTCAACTCTTGAAACTGTGCCTGCAGTCAACCTACTTCACATATGAGGAGCAATATTATAGGCAGAAACATGGGTGTGCTATGGGGTCTCCAGTTTCTCCTATTGTTGCCAACCTGTACATGGAGGAGGTAGAAAAGAGAGCCTTGACGTCCTTTTCAGGGACACCACCAAGTCATTGGTTCAGGTATGTTGATGACACCTGGGTTAAAATTAAATCTCAGGAAGTCCAACATTTTACTGACCACATTAACTCTGTGGATAAATACATCAAGTTCACACGAGAAGATGTAAAAAAATGGCAAGTTGGCTTTCTTGGACTGTGAGGTCTCGGTCTCTGATAGAGGACATTTGCAAACCGAGGTGTACCGCAAACCCACCCACACAGACCAGTATTTGCAGTTTGACTCCCATCACCCTTTGGAGCACAAGTTAGGAGTCATCAGGACTCTGTATCACAGAGCAGACAGCATCCCCACTAACTCGGGAGCCAGGCAGAAGGAGAAATCCTACACAAAACAGGCTCTAGAGCAATGTGGATATCCTAACTGGGCCTTCCTGAAAGCAGAGAAGAAACCCTAGCAGGACTCCAGTCAGCCATCAGGTGAAAAGGAGGAACCCAGACCCAGACCAGTGGTCATTCCGTATGTTGAGGATGTATCAGAGAAACTGAGACGTTTATTTTCTAAACATAACGTCCCAGTGGCTTTTAAACCCCAAAATACATTATGGCAAAGACTGGTTCATCCCAAAGATCCAGTCCCCCGGCACAAACAGAGTAATATTGTGTATGCTGTTCAGTGTCAGGAGGGCTGTGATCAGTCTTACATCGGGGAAACTAAACAGCCACTGGCTAAAAGGATGGCCCAGCACAGAAGATCAACATCATCAGGCCAGGATTCTGCGGTCTACACTCATCTCCAGGCCAGCGGTCACTCTTTCAAGGATGAAGATGTTCACATCCTGGACAGAGAGGAACGATGGTTTGAGAGAGGAGTAAAGGAGGCCATCTTTGTGAAAATAAATCGTCCATCATTAAACAGGGGTGGAGGCCTCCGGGTTCAACCGTCCCCCTCTTACAATGCTGTGATTGCTCGTATCACTCAGCCCTCTGTGAATAGTAAACAGCCATCAGTGTGCTAATGATCCATTGTTAGGCTGATGGTCCTTCTTGAGCATGTGATCAGCTGGTTTTGGTTGTCAGCAGCAAACTGGTTGATCCACTCTGAGAAGGTACTATTTAAGGTCGTTTTCACACCAGATAGTCTGGTAGACTCGGTTCGGGACCAATATTCATGAGCTTTTGTTTACATTTGAGCTGGTGCATTTGCATTCACACTGCACTGTGCAGTCGAGTCAACCTGTTGAACCAACCTGTTCCCCCGCTCGCCTGTGGGGGCGCTGCACCAAGAACTACTGAAAGAAACAACACAAAAACCTCTGAAGACACGTCTTCTTCTTCTTCTGAAAATAAAAATAAAAACGAAGTGGCATCAAGTTTTAGCAGTTTTAGGAGTTATATTTTGTCATTTTTCAAAAATGGACTTAGCATGAGCAGAAGATGAGACAGAAGACCATGGAGAATATTGTTTTTCACACAAGTCAGTTGACAGCTCCATATAAGGTCAGAGAAATGCGTGTTTGTTTGTCCTGCGGAGCGGGGCTCGGTCTGTTTACATTCACACTGTACTCGAACCGCGCTGGAGTTCACTTCTACCGGACCGAGACCTAGGTTTTAGCCCGGGCCAGAGTTCGCATTTTTGTTCCGTGACAGAGTTCGATGGCGCGTTCACACCTCCCTAAACGAACCGGACTTTCTAGGAAAACAAGCTAGAGTTTGATTAAAGCGGACTAAACAGGGCTGGTGTGGATGCACCCTTAGAAACTGAGCTGAATACAGCTCCTCAGACTGAGGAAGTCTCTCGGATGAGAGACGAAACGTTTCTACATTTTTTTGCTTTGTTTTGTTTTTTGAATGTCCAGAGGACCAGATTGAACTTTTTTGGAAGCTCCAGGAAGGTGAACGCAGGGGTCACCTGTGTGAGTTTGTGATCAACGTTCCCAGAGGGGTGTAGTATGACATATCCTGAGATATATTCATACTGTTAAAACGGGTTCTTTCATTTTTCTGGACTGTATATCAACGTGCGTTGAATGTAATAAAATGTGGACGTGAGACGTTAATTATCTTTGACTCACCACGACAGTGGGTCATTTATTAACAGAATAAAGTTTTACACATCACACATTTACATTAATTGGCAAGAATTGAAAAATAACGACATAATTAATCAGCTTTACAACCAGGAAAACCATACGGCCATGATTTTCCGTTGCTTCACCACAGACATTTCTGAAAACATCTAGATGAATTTGCTAGCAGATAGGAGAGTTTAAAGATGGAAAGATGAGGTTTATCTACAGAGAGATGTGTGAGGGAATTTGTTTGTTTTAACCAGAACATGCACGCTCCTTTGGAAATCAGCTTGGGCCAACGGTACGCTTGGTCGAGATAGAACTTTTACCTTGCAGACGATAGCTTCAGCGTCGGTGTAGAGCTCTTCTTTCAACTCTTTCAGCGTCTCCGTGAGAACAGCTAAAAACCCCTGGAGTCGTGAGGTTATCCAAACAGAAGTTATAATCCCCAAATCGTCTCTGGTTCAGCTTGATTCTAATTCAGCAGCATCCTGAATTCCAGCGTTCTGCATTCTGGAACTCCAAAACTCTCTGCTTAAACTAGGAAGTGCCAACATTTAAATGGGCTCTACTTCCGGTTCATTTGAGAGCTTCTGATTGGTCGATGGACCAAAGCAGAGGTGTGGTTTGTGATGTAAGGTGTTATGAAAAGTCAAGGGAAAAGATTAAGATTGTTTAAGAACAGACAGAAAGATTGTTATGGAGAATTCAGACT